AGTTTGTGGTGATGCCTTTTGGCCTGTGCAATGCTCCTGGCACCTTTCAGCACGCTATGAATCGGATATTCCATGACTACTTGGATAAGTTTGTCATTGTGTACCTCGATGACATACTTATTTTTAGTAAGACTGTCGAGGAGCACGTTGCACACTTGGACAAAGTCCTTAGTCTCCTGCGGCAGCACAAGTTCAAGATCAACGGTGAGAAGTGCGAGTTTGGGCGCACCCGTGTCTTGTACTTGGGTCATGAGATCTCCGCGGAAGGTTTGAAGCCCGATGACGCGAAGGTGGCCAGCATTCGAGATTGACCACGACCTCAGTCTGTGATTGAGATGAGATCTTTCTTAGGAATGACAGGCTACTACCGGACTTTTGTAAAGAACTATAGCGTAGTGGCCGCTCCTTTGACAAATCTGACCCGCCTTGATACCCCGTGGGAGTGGACGGAGGAGTGCGAGGCTGCTTTCAGACATCTGAAGCATGCACTAACGCATTATGAAGTCTTGAAACTTCCCGATCCTGATAAGCCGTTTATAGTAACCACGGATGCTAGCCAATATGGCATTGGCGCTGTGCTTGCGCAACAGGAGGGGCCAAAGTTGAGGCCTGTTGAGAACATGTCCAAGAAAATGTCGTCTCAAAAGTTGGCTAAGTCCGCCTATGAGAAAGAACTCTATGCGGTGTTCAAGGCGCTGACCCATTGGAGACACTATCTCCTTGGGAGGTTCTTCATCCTCAGGACTGATCATCAGACGTTGAGATGGATGGGAACTCAGCCTGTACTATCTGACGCATTGAAGCGTTGGATAGAAGTCATTGAGCAGTATGACTTTGACCCTCAGTACATCAAGGGTGAGTACAACAAAGTTGTTGATACCTTGTCGCGTAGACCTGATTTCTCAGGTGCGCTGATTACTGAGTACGATCTTACGAATGATGTCACTCGATCCTTGGTGGAAGCCTATCGGGAGGACCAGTTTATGTCTGAGATCATACGCAGACTCGAGGCGAAGGATAAACAAACTTCAGTCGAGTTTGAGTTGGTCAATGGCTTGCTGTTTCTCGAGAAGGTAGGGAATAAACGTTTGTGTGTCCCTGATAAAGAGTCTTTGCGTAGTCTGTTTCTAGGCGAGTGTCATGACGCCACCGACCATTTTGGGTACAAGAAGACCGCAGCCAATTTGCTGCAAAGGTTCTGGTGGCCCACGATGTTAAAAGATTCTAAGCTGTACGTGGAAACTTGTCAAGTTTGCCAACGAGACAAGCCCCGTACTCAGGCTCCTCTTGGGCTGCTCAAGCCCCTTCCGATTCCGGAAAGGCCGGGTGAAAGCTTGTCTATGGACTTCATGGATACGCTGGTCACCAGCAAGAGTGGGATGAGGCAGATCTTCGTCATCGTGGATAGGTTTAGTAAGTATGCTAGGTTAATAGCCATGTCGGAAACAGCGAAGACCGAGTATGTAATTAGGCTGTTCAAAGAGAACTGGGTGAGGGATTTTGGATTGCCTAAGTCTATTGTAAGTGACAGGGATGTCAGATTTACAAGTGAGTTATGGAAGGCCGCTGCAGCTGAACAGGGAACTCAACTGCAAATGACTTCTGGAAACCATCCAGAAGCAAACGGCCAGGCTGAACAGATGAACCGCGCTGTTCAACACATGTTGAGGCATTACATTAAGCCCAAGCAGGTGGACTGGGACGAGAAGCTTGCTCTTGTCGCCAGTCTGTACAATAACGCTGTACACAACGCTACCGAGGTAAGTCCTAACAGTCTACAACTTACCTTTAGGCCTAGACTGCCCTTAGACTTCCTACTTCCTGATAACCAGCCAATTGTTGCACCAGGCACTTTGAAGTTCGCTTATCGTTACGAACAGAAAATACAGGAGGCTGCAGAGCACATGCAGAAGGCGCAGGCAGCAATGATAGAATCTGAGAATAAACACCGCCGCCCTTCTACATTTCAGGTTGGGGACAGAGTCTGGGTCAAGTCTTCATAATTGGGACAGGAGTTCGGGATATCCCGCAAACTCATGCCTCAGTACTTTGGACCTTGGGAAGTTTTAGACGTAGTAGGGACAGATACCGATGGTCCATCTTATGCCATCCGTATCCCTGGTCACCTCAGAACTTACCCAGTCTTTCACGCCTCTAAGCTCGCTGCGTTCGAGGAAACTGATCAGTTTCCCCCTCGTCGATCAATGCTGCCCCCAACCATGGACGGAGAAGTCGACATCGATGATATCGTCGACCACAGGGAGATGCCTGTTCARAAGCCTCCGGGAAGGGGACGTCCTCCAAAGCCAAAGCTGCAGTTTCGTGTCCACTTCAGACATCACACAGATCCGAAGGAGGACCGCTGGTTTACTCGGGAGGAATTGATGCAGACCGCTCCTCAAATCGTTGCCCGCTATGAAAAGGATGTATTGAAAGGAAAGCGCCAGATGGATCAAGATTGATCTTCTCAGAGGACTAATGAAGATATGGAGGAGGGAATGCGAGGCTACGCCCGCTCAGCCTCTTCGGGGCCCTTTTTGCAACATGTCGGCCGCCCTAAGTGAAGGCAGGCGCGACAGGCCCTCAGGGCCTCGATTTTCAGGGTACCCCGCAACTGGTGAAATTCAGACAGTTGCGCTGCGCCAGTTGGTTGAAGGCGCCCAGGCCCAGGCCATATTTTGCAAATGTATCTGAATGGTGACCTGGGCCAGACGCGTGGGAAAGGCTGTGAGCAGGCCAAGGGGCAGGGCACATGCAACCATCAGGCCCGGGGCCTGCGTGTGAGGTCTGGGCCTGTGCCTACTGGGGCCTATTGGAAGCTTCCTGGAGTGGACACAGGCAGGCCACTTCGATATAGGGAAGGGCCTGCCTCCTCATTCGGCATTCGGGTGCTGGCTGCATGCTGCGCTATTTGCTGGCTGGCTGGCACTCACGCTCTCACGGGCGAGCAGGAAGTAGCGGGCAGCCATAGCCGAGCTGCTCCGCTGTGTGCTGGGTGTGACGCAGGGTGGTCCTTGGGTGCTAGTGGCATCTGTGTGGTGTGGATCGGGGTTGTGAGTGTTGCGAGAGACATACCTGGTGCTGGAAGCGTGGGGCATTGTCCGCTGAATGCTCGAACTTCAGGAAGCTGTTGTTGTCAACGTCGGCATTGTAGTATTAGGCTAGATAGGATCTGCCACATGTAGTCTGGGCGCCGAGCGCCAATAGGATATCAACTCTTGTTCYTCGTTGATGATGATGAGAGACTATTTCAGCATTGTCAAGTACGAACTATTGGTGTGATCTTATTTGGTGAATCTCGTGATGCATTTCTGCTGTTGGTTCGAGGTCAAGACTATCTGGACTCATATGTATGATGCTGTTTGATTGCTGGAGTTCACTAATGCTCATGTTCCTTGCAGTTGCCTGATTCGACTGCGTATTACAAAGGGCCTCGCCACACTACTCCCGACTTGGAGGAAAAAAATTGGGAGTACTCCCGGACGTCCGAAGACGTGAAATCGATTCGGGAGTGCGCTTTGCCACATTGCACTCCCGACTTGGGGCGCTCTCCGATTTGGAGGTCAGGAGGCGCACTTCAGACGGAGACTGTCCAGCACTGTCCAGCATGTGGCGACGAAAACTGTGAGGAGAACGGCTGTCTGCACACGAGTTCTCCGGTGGTCGAAACACAGGCCTCCGTGAGAGGTCGCCCGAAAATGGCATTTTACAGGTGGGAGGCTCAAGGGATTTCGGGAGTGCTCTTGGGAGCCACATTCTGACAGCTCCGGAATTCAATTTGACAGCTTGAACTCGGGAGCTGGTGTGGCGACGCTGCACTCCCGAAAATGGCCAAGTCGGGAGTAGTGTGGCGAGGCCCTAAGAACGAGAACCACAAGGCCAAAAAAACCTCACAATTCAGAAACGAACAACCACTCCACTTCGTCTGTTCCTTCTCTCTTACTCCGCCAGAACATCTATTTCTACTCGGTCGTATTGGGCCGAGATCAGACCGGTTCGTACGTCTGTGAGGCTCGCCACACAGGCTGTCGAAAATCTTTGAGTGTCAACAGCTGTCAGAAAAAAATTGAAAGTCGGCGGTCGACAGTTTACCCCCTCTTTGCCACAGGCAGGCTGTCGAGGGGCAAGGTTTTTGATCATGGCCAAATGGACCCCGCCTTTCCACAGGGCACGGCTGTCACGGAACAGGTACCTGACAATGCAAATTTGAACGCAATTCTCGAAAGGCAGGTGGGTGGGGCACTTTCGAATCGAATTTCCGTCTCCTGCAGGCGGGGGGGGAGGAAACGAATGGGGGAGGGCGGCTGTCGAGCGTACCATTCTGACACCTGTTGAATTTTTTTGAGCGTCAATTCTTCGAAAGTCTGTGTGGCGATGCAAAATTGTCGAAAACCTGGTTTTCGACAGCCTGTGTGGCGAGCCTCTGTCTATTATAGGCTAATAGAGCAAGTGGGAGAAGAATCGGGTAGGTGGGAAAAAAAAAAAAGAAAAGAATTGGATAGGTAGGGCAGGGGTGCACAGGGTAGAGCAGGAAGTAAAGTGGTAGATATTGAGTTAGTTAAACTTAGTTTAACTTAGTTATAGCGTTGTTTGTTATAGTTGGTAATACTTGGTATTGTTTTCCTTTGAATTGAATCATTTTGAACGAGTTGTTTCGTAAGCTAAACTGGCTGAGGCTGCCAGGATAACTCTGGGTTGAAAAAATTGTGAGGAATCATCGACCTCAATTTTTTTTGAGAATATAATTCAATGTGGCATGGGACTCGTCACAATCCCGCAAGGGAAGAGAAAACATAGCATGTTCCAAAAGCGCTGTTGAGGTTTTTGCGTCGCCATCTTGATAAATTAAATAAGATTGCCCAGCATATGTGTGGTTTTGTTTTTTGTTAATTAAATTAATGCAACTGACAGGCTTCGGTAGTGTGACCCGCCTGACCTGGCCCGGCGCGAAGCTGGATATATGCTGGGAACTCCGCCGAGTATCCGACCAAATGACAAATGTGTCGGTGCGGACAATCAGCAGGGAATCACCGACCTCAATTTTTTTTGAGAATATAATTCAATGTGTTTTCAAAGACAAAGAAAAAAAAAAAAAAAACAGGGGCTAGCACTATTCCAGTAATGGTCTCAATATGTTCGAACTTCGAAGTGTTCAATTTGTTCGAATGGCTCTGGCTGTGATCGGAGTCACATGCATTTAACATAGTGGCTTGATATGTCTGTACGCCCTGAGTGGCAATCGGACCACTATGTACTTGTATTGGACTATGGCTGCAATGATAATCCCCACCGCCCCCTCGGGGAACACCAATCGGACCGCTATGTACGGGCATGAACTTTTGCTGGGCCTGGGGAGGGCGTCAGCTGAGGACCGCTACCCGGACCGCTATGTACGGGCATCAACTTTTGCAATCGGACCGCTATGTACGGGCATCAACTTTTGCTGGGCCTGGAGAGGGCGTCAGCTGAGGACCGCTACCCGCTTTAGGAGGTATGGAGAGAGAGATTTGCCAAAAAAAAATAGATAAATAAAAAAATCAGGTCCTTTGACTCCTTCGGGCCTGGATGCTTATCCATTCTGAGCAGCATCAGTCCAGTTCCTATTCCACCTGCAAGTCAGAGATGCAACATTAACATCACCCATGCTTCCTTCCGTTTGGCCGAAGGACCCCTGACCAGCGTATATTTTTCCCCAATTGCTTTGGAGGATTAACTGTCAGCTGTCAGCTTGCCTGTCATCGGCAGTGCTTCTCAGGCTCAGCTCACCGAACCCGTCAGATGGACATAAACAGGGGAACAACAGAAAGACAAGCAAGGGCTAACGACGCGTTCACCCCGGTGTTCGAGTTCACAGGTCCACCTGTTCGCGTCTCATTGACTGAAGCAAATGGTGGTGGTCCTCTGCTGCCATCTCTCATCTGCCCGATTGTCTCTCTCTTTTTTTTTTCCTTTCTTTTTTGATGCCTGATTGTCTCTTTGATAGGTCGCACTGCTGGAAACTTGTGGTTCCTGCTGTTGGGTAATCTGCACTATGTAGGCGGCGTCAGACTTGTGCCAGTCCTTCCACCTGATACGGTATCCACCACTAAGATCAGCCACTTGGGCCCGCGCTCCACCACTCGCCACAGAGGGCTTTTGGCGAGTGAGTTGCTTCATCGCTCCGCCACTCACCACGGTTCAAAATTGTCAGAACATTTTTTTTTTTTTTACCGCGGTGAGTGGGCTGTGGTGAGCACTCACCACGTCCTTCGTTTTCCTCTCGTGCAATGGGGCAGGGTTGTGGTGAGTGCTCCAAGACTCTCACCAAAAATAGTGAGCAAGTCACCGTCGAAGCGTTGTCTTGTCGCGCTCAGGCATTGTCTTGTTGCCCTCACCCGTGTGCTGAGGGCAAAAGTGTGGTGAGTGGTGGAGAGCGAGGGCTACTTCCTTCCAGTGTCAAAAGTCCCGTGGTGAGTACTCTCCATGGGAAATCGAGTTTGGACTCTGGAGAGTGGTGGAGCAGCGAGGCTCTTTGCCTCTTCCCAGCCAGATCCGGAATATAGACAGCAGAACTACCTGCTGCGTGTCTGGAGAGTTGTGCAGCTTCTGCTGCTTCTGCATACAGAGCTTGAGTTTTTGCCGCTGGCATTGGATTTCTGCTTAGATTGGGCCCTTCGTGGACGCCCGCACTCTGTCACGTGCAGCGATGGAGTTGTTTAAACCACTGCAGTACTTCCTAAAGTTGTGCCCGTTAACGCGCCATGATTTTAGGAAACGTACGGGCCACTACAGGAGCGCCCAAATTCATCCAACCAGAAACGTTTGGACTCTATTTTTTTTTTTCCGCGGCTGATAGCTGGGCCAAGTACTGGTGGTTTAAGAGTTCATCTGCTGCATCTTTTTCTTTCAACATGGTCCAAAGTGTTGTCTTGCGTATCATTCGGAAGAATCGGAACCAGACACTTTCCGGTTTGCTAAATTGAGAGGGGGTGTTAGTCCATAGAAGGCTCTGGATAGAGTGTCCGGGCCCTTCGGGGAATTGAGATGGGAATAGACAGTCCCATAGGTCGGAGGCTCTAGCCCATAGGTTGCTATAGCCCAGTATTTGGTAGCCTCCTTGCATCAGATTAGGCAGTATTTCTAATCTTCCTGTCCATAGTAAGGCTCTGGATAGAGTGTTCGGGCCCTTTGGGGGATGGAGATGGGAATAGACAGTCCCATAAGTCGGAGGCTCTACCTTCTTCCCCCGAATACAACGTACGCCGTACGGTCATTATAGCTGTATGTATGTGGGTTATCTTTCAGTCTAAATACAGCCATAATGACTGTACGTTGTATTCGGGGGAAGAAAGTAGCCCATAGGTCGGAGGCTATAGCCCAGTATTTGATAGTCTCGTTGCATCAGATTAGGTAGTATATCAAATCTTCCTGTTCATTGTCTGACCAGACTGCACAGCGATCTGAGCTGTGTGGGTCATTATTCCTTTTTTTTTTTCCTTTTCTTTTTTTTAATGTGTCGCCCAGGGTTGCACACCCCGACGGTCGGCGGCCCTTGACTGGTTGGCTGCCGACCCGCTGACCGGTTGGCTGGTCGGCACCTACCGGTCGGGGGTCGTCGACTCGTCGGCACCCAGAGCCCCTAGTAACACCACCAACATCCCCGTAGCACCCCCCAATACCCCCATACACCCCCCCAACACCCCCAAACCGCCCCCAACACCCTCATTACCCCACCCAATACCCTCTATACCACCGCTATACCCCCCTATACGCCCCCTATACTCTAACCCCAACCCCAACCCCCCAACCCCCCGAATCCCCAAAAGTTTCTCGGGGGATTCGGGCTGTACTCAGCAAGCGCAGTACAGCCCCCAACTCAGATTTGAAAAAAAATCAGCGGATGGTTGTTTTCTGACTGGTCGGCATACCGCCGACCGGTCGGCGGTCAGGGTCGGCGGTCGGCAGGCATGCAACCCTGGTGTAGCCAGTGATTTACTGGTAAAGCGGTGTATGATATCAGCCATTGGGGGCTTCTGACTTTTACTGGCCTTATGGATTTGAATTTTCTCCAGGGAATTTTGGCTATTTACTCTGCGTCTGATCCATCTGCGTCTGATTGTTGGCTCGGGATCCTTTGTCCTAGGGCATACTCACACTTGCACTTTTTTTACTTATTTCTGGATGGAATTGCAGCCACATGCATACA